CCACGATTTGCAGCAGCTTGAGCTCGTGTGATTCGACCACTGGGTGCTTGGCAAGCAGTAAGCACCGGATTTTCCTTCCTTCCAGCCATGTGAGCCTGAATGTGTTAAAAGGAAAAAAAATGACATAAGAAATTGTGCAGTTTTGACGCAAAAAAAAGAAAGAAAGAAATTGCACAGTGAGCAATGAAGATATCAACCAAGGCAAATAACTTTATGGAGCTGAATGAGACGGTGTATTAAGCATTAAGTATCAGTGTGAAAAAGAAATCGAACAAGTAGATGCAATGCAGACATAAAACAGTATCAGATCTTATTTGCAAATCTAACAAGATCATATTTACTCACAAGTGCACAAGTTAAACCAAAATTATTCAGTCCCTTCGTAGCATAATTGAGAGAAATAATAGATAATCCCAGGGCATACAGATCGGAATTAGCAGTCAGTTGGCACAAATGTTTACAGTTATGATCTATAATTCAAATCTGAAACCAGATTTATTTGTCCATTTCGTTATGTGCAAAAAAGGCAGCGCTTTCTATAGATTTTATGGCGTTCTTTAAACAAAAGTCCCTTCTAAAACTGCCTTGCAAAATGCCATCTTCATATTCAGGTTAGATTTCCTAACACTTTTGTTTTCTTTCATGGCGTTGAACAGATGCAAAATTAACCTTATGCACCAGATTGTGCCAAGAAACCCTCCAAGTCAAGCTACCATCAGATACTCAACTAAAAACTCACTTTTTTTTTCAAAAAGGATGCCACCCAACCTTAGCCCTAAAGCTGAAATCCTCGCAAACGTTACCAACATGGACCAATCTACGCACATCCCCCATCCTCAGACGCGCACAGATCAAGCAGATCTACCACACAGACGACGGGGCAAGAAGCCAAGAACCCCCCACGAGCGCCGCGAAAATCACCAATGCGTACCAAGAACCCCCAAATGCAAGACCAAATCAAGAACCCCCCACCCCACCCGGCCCCAAATGCCAACCCACCCAAAATTCCCGGAAACAATCGGAGTCACCCACCCCCTCTGCGCGGCGCGGGCACCCGGGACACGGAGAGGCGCTCCCCCGTCCCCCGCGGCCGCCTGCGGCGGCGAGTAGTGCCCTAGAAAAGTAAAAAAAGGGAGTCGCGGCTGCGGCTGCGGCGGCGGCGGCGGCGGCGGCGGCGGAGGAAAGGGGCCCCCTCCGGATCCGAGCCGAAGAGGGGGTGGCGGAGCACGTCTCCACGCCGCCGGCGGCAGGCGGCGGCGGCGGCGGCGGCGACCGGAGCGGAGGTGGGGGTGGAGGCGGGGGGTGGCGAATGGTGGTGGTCTCCTCCCCTTTTTGAAGTTTGAAGGCGTAGGCGGGATGGGGGAGGAGGATTGAGGAAGAAGCCGAGAGCGAGATGGGGAGGGGGCTTGGTGGGCCCGGCCCGTCAGGGACCCGGAAAAGGGAAAGTGGGGTTTTGGGCCTATATATACGGATAAGGCAACTTTTGTGGCCCTAGAAAGGAAGGTGGCTTTTTTAGTTGAGTACGTACGGCCCATGTAACATGTTTGAGCCCGGTCCATTTTACTCTCTTTTTTTTCAATAGATGACGTTGTTGACTACACATATTTGACCATTCGTCTTATTCACAATGTTTATGCAAATACATGAGATATAAATAATGCTTTAAATATTTTTAGTGATAAAACAACTCACAACAAAATAAATGATAATTGCATAAATTTTTTGAATAAGACGAATGGTCAAACGTATACCCAAAAATCAAAAGAGGTAGTAGGTAGTAGTGGACTTGGCTAGCGAAAAAACTTAGAGGATAGCATTATTCGCAACCTTGCAAAAGTTTTAGGGCTTCTTTAGGAACGCGGGAATTTTTTTATTAAACTTTTTGTAGGATTTAGTTCAATTACTCCATTCCAAGGGAGTCATTCGCTGAAAACACAATCTATGTGCGAAGAGATAAAAAAAGGGGGTAGGGCTTTTTCGGAACGTAGAAACAATCTGTTTAACTGCGAAACTTCCCCATTCCAAAGAGACCTAAAGTGCATTTATAGTGTGTAGACCATGTGTTAATGTAGTGACTCCTATTATAGATACAAAGGCGAGCCCACGAGATATTTCCAAGTTGGGGCAAACATGTTGAGATCTGTAGCAGATATTCCAGTGGGACCCGATGAACATAAAGATGAAAAGTCGTGTCACCAACATCCTTGTAGGCGTGTACCTCCCTCGACTCCTCGAGCCATAAATATCATGTTCACCACTGGCTTGCCTTATTGGCCAGAATGGAGTAGAATCACTCTTGATCTACTCCTTCCGAACATTCATGTGTCCATAGCCATACCAAAATCTATCTCTAATTTTAAACATCCAAAGTCTAGTACATTATATCACCTAAACAAAAATCTAGAGATCCAAAGCATATCATGAACAAGGGGGGAAAGGCAAGGAGGGGTTACCTGGTGAAGGTCATTGGGATCCATGCACTCATCATTCCCTTGAAGGAGCGGAGAAGAAGAGGAGAGGAGGATAAGAGGAGTGGAGGAGAAGGATGACATCACAAGAGGCGGGTGGAGGAGGGGGAGAGAGGAGAGGATAGGTGAGGAGATGAGGATATTTGGGCCGGTAATTTTAAAGAAGTTTTTGATCGGTCAAGAGAGAAATTCAAATTTCATGGGCGGGAATGTTGAAATATTGTTAGAGACCAATTAATGACTCGGATGGTAATTAAAGGGTGAGCAAACACGACCAATTCATAAAGCCATCTCTAGTATGGTACTTATTAGAGGTAGTTTTGACTTATACCACTTGAAAATAGGCATTCATAATTGTGAACCATCTCCAGATAAATTCTAGAAAAAAGTTATTTGAGGAATTAAAAAGAAGCCAAGATAGGAATGGGATAAATCGATATATGTCGATGACATTATGACAACCTTTGGGTAATTAATACTTGGTTGAACTATTTCATTTATCTAGTCAAGGGATAATCAAAGAAAAGAACATGCATTATTTGAATCATTTTCTTGTAGGATACAACCTTCATAAAGGATAAGATCATCCAAACAATAATGAAAGGTCACCCCATCAAGATTATGAACAATTACATGGTTAAATGAATGTTAGATTTAATATAAGAAATGTATATGGTAGGGTAAATATGAATGTCAGCTTATGGATAAAGGAAAGGATATGAGAGGGGGGAGGGGATTAATCAATAATCATGGACTACTGGTGAAAAGAGATGAAGATTCAACTAAAATGGCAAAGAGTTTACATGAAAATGGTTGTGAGAAACTGAACAAGAGTTTGCATAGGGGATTTAAATACCTTATTGCATTCAAGACATTGAAGAGGTAGACATTTGTGAAAGCAATCCCCTTGCCTCATCTCGGGAATGTGCTCAATGCTTTTGTGTCACCTTGGTATATTGGTTGAGTTCAATAAAAACTTCCATTATCTAAAAAAATCTCCTTGCCTCAAAACTGGCAAACACAAATTGTTTGAAGAAGTTCCAAGAATTAGTCTAATCCACATAGGTGTATTAGGTGCTCTTTTCATTCTTTAGTAGATCTTGACTTTAGTCCAATACTTCCCTAGTCGTTCCTCTCCAAGCGGAATTCCCTATTCTTCTTCACTTTTTGTAAGAAGACTTCTTTCCTTTCAATATGGTATAGTACTAGTAGTTAAGGTTATAATCTCACCTGAAATCAAATCATTTCTGATTACGAAACATAATCCTATATACTTACATGTGCTCTTTTGAATGTTTGCCAATATCCGTTGCTTTATGTTGAGAATTCTAACTTTGCTAGCATCGAGTTGTTTCATTCTTGTTTTTGAGATAGTTTGTTGGACACTCAACACACATTACACTTAGGCCACACACACATGCACATCCTCTTGACATGATTTAAATCTGTTGGAGGTACCAAACACCCCCCATAGTGCGGGCGCATGCATACCCACTAAATACATGCCTTAAATTCGTGGGCACCGATACAAAACGTAGAATTTAAATCCTAGCAATGCCAAGTGCAAAAACCACACTACCCAGCTAGCAGTCACAAGATGCCAGCTTCCATTTGTCGTTTCATGTTGAAACTAAACTGGCAACAGAGATGAATATGATCTAAAATTGTATGGTAAATGATAGCTTGGTTCGAGGAAAAAAATCCAAATGGGAGGTTGAAATTAAACCCAGGTGGCATTTAACTACTTGGATCTTCTCCCTGTTTGGAAGCGGGCCTTTGAGGCCTTTCATAATTCACAATGCAAGGCACGCATAGGAGGAACCTCAGAGTGCCACCTAAGATGAGATAACAGGTGTCCAAACCTCTCTTCCCTCTGCAAGCTTTTTAGGTGAGGAACTCCGTTCATCACTAGGTCCCGAGAAACCTCACAAAACCATGGTCCCCCACATTCTCTCTTCCACGACAACACGAGTCCTACGTGGCACAATGAATCCATGCGAGACGGTGGCGTACTGTGAACGGCCTGATAGCCTTTCTTGCCTAAGCAATATGACATGCCATCTCCAATGAAGGTAAGCTCTGTCTCACTGACTCTCCTAACAATTGATCTTGCCAATGCCAAGCCTCATCCAAGAAATAATCCAACAAACTGTTGTTTAGGCTTCAAGGTTTTCAAGGACTAGAACTGAATATTCTTATCGAGGAACATTACTATTTCAACCTCCCTAGCTCCGCAAAAACCCTCTGTAGATACAAAATTTATGTATATATAATTTGTTTTGTGTGGTGCAAAAGCTTATGTTCAGACAAAACATGCAGTGAATTTCAACTTTTACATATACTTGTACGCAATAGATTCCACTCAAAATATGAGACATTTCGAATCCACATCTGACCAATTGTAGAGATTGCTCAAATGAGGCTATACAAAATTTACACAACAATTTTGACAAATATTCACAACAAGATCACTATAAGTTCCAATGAAGCGCACAAACAACAACAACAACAACAACATTACAACACCACCACTAACAACAAAAGGCCAAACTTTTGGAAATCTGATCGGTGCCAAGATTCTGTACAGAAAAGTTTGAAGTTAACCGAGTCACACAATTCCTCAATTCCAAGTTTCCAACACAAGTAGGAGAGAAAGAAAGACAAGCATACTATAAAAGCTTTCACATTACAACATCTGTGAAGGCATCAATCTAGGGTGACATCCTCCCTGTTCTGAACAGGCCAATGATAAATCACAAAACAACACACAAGGTAAGTATTGACACTCTGGAATCTTGGTGCCATTGGCTTGAAAAGGAAAATTGATAGAAAGATAGAGGAATTTTTAACTGAGATCAAACACCTTCGCTTGACACATGTTATTACTATCCCTGTTAAACGCCTTGACATGTGTAGCTCTGATTCTCTGAAGTGCTTCCATGGACAGTTATTTACTCATCAATAGACAAAATAAGAACTGGTGGTTTCTAGGAAAAAAAAAACCTAAACCAAATAGCCCATTAGTTCGTCAAAATCAAAGATCAACCAATCGGCTTTTGATGCAACCGCTTCCCTCATCTGCACACCAGCATAGCAGATAAACAAGTCTGCTCCATTAGGTTGCCGAGCCTGCACACATGAAAAACATAGTTTAAGATGTTTCTGAAGTTCCATCCACACAGAAGTTCCTTTATGATATACCAACAGTTAACCAATACAAAATTATGAACTAATCTACTCATGGAGCCAATACAGCGATACAGCATCACCATGCTAAAATCAGAATATGAAGGAAAAAGTTCATTGCAAAAGCTCATATCAAAATATGAAGGAAAAAACCATGCATCTCATTAGTCAAAGTAACTGAGGAAGAAAAATAGTTCGACCCCTTTTATGTTTCCTTTGCTAAATGAAATGAAAGCATAAATAGTTTGTTAACATGAGAATGTTTCTCCTACATATACACGTTAATACATACTATGAACATCAACAAATTTGTCACGATTTATGTGAACTTTAAAATTCAAATTGGCCATTCAGTCTCTTATTGATTTGGAATTGGGATGGTCTTCCTTAGGTATCAAAATACTTTGTATTCCTAAGGTAGTAGTGTAATACATGTGTCAGTATATGTGGTTTTGCATTTTCTTGCTAACATTTATCCCATTTTTTTTTGTGGCAGCAGTGTACTCCTAACATATAATGAAAATGGTAATGCTATGCCTACTGTAGGGCTATCATTGTTCTATGGACACAATAATAGTACCTCAAGATCAGTTGCACCATCTCCAACCATAAAGAGTGTCCTGTAACCACACTTCTGCACACACAAAGGTACATAAGCAATGTGCTTAATAAGCAGCAACATGGCAGAGTGGAGAGTTAAAATCAGAACCTGTCTTATGTTTTGAACTGCTACAGCTTTGCCTCCACTTCGTGAAGTAGGCTCTGAAGGGTCAAAACCAACATACTCTCCAGAAGTTCCAAACAGTAACTGGTTTGCAAAAATATTTTCAGGAGGAATGCCGAGCTGCATTGCAACAGGCTGATGGAAAGAGCAAAGGGTAAGTCAAAGACTGACTCTGGGTGAAGAAATAGCAACTTGAAAATAGCTAAAGCTTGTCATAAACCAGGAGTGTAAATGCATCAAAAGAAATATGGATCAAATATTTCTTGCCACAACCTTCCTTTGTTCTTCCAATTTTTTTGAAATCGGTTCCTCAAGAGGGGGCAAAAAACATCACATAATACTAAAGCAGTGGACCTATTCAAAAGTTAAAGTAAAGATTGGAGCTGAAAACAACAGAATGTTGGCGGAGTAAAATCAAAGTATAGCACGTACGGTGACTTTCCTGGAATGTCACTGGGAAAGCATCCAACAATGGAATCATTATACCTTGATCATCTGTCGGAAGCCTCCAGAAACCAGGTACACATCAACATTTTTAGCTTTCAGCATCTTAACAAGCTCAGCAATTCCAGGAGATATTCTGTCGATAAAATGTCATTTGCATAAAATATAGTAGGATGTGAAGGCTAGATACAATCAACGCAATACATCCAAGGAACATGAACGTTGTGTCTGCTTGACGCACAAATATCTAGATAGATCATAGTTTGTAGCAAATTTATAAAAAAAGTCAGGGTCAGTTTCTTACGAGAAACAGCTAATATTTGAACAACGAGCTATATAAATTCCTGTTTATTTAGAATAAACAAGAAGTTATCAAGTAGTTCTGTTATTCTGTATCCAATTTGAAAAAAAATAAAACATGAAAACGTGTGGAGAAAAGGATTAAAAACAACTTAGTATTCTCTTATGGCATGGCCATCCCAAAAATGGAAACATAGTAGCGATTTTATTTTTTGAGAAATGCAGAAGATCTGTGTATTTTCACTGAAAGTTATACAAAACAAAAGAAAGCAAACCATCTAGTTCTGGCTAGTAGTAACTACAGCCCCCCCAAAGGCTGAAACACCTAAGAATCATTAGATACTTAGGAGCTTACCTTGGTGGCCGCTTCTCCATGCAGTCCTCAACTTGCCCCAAAGATGGCTTGAACAACGATAGCCGAGCAGCTAATGCCTTTTCAAACGGAACTGACCCAGTCATCGCCCTGGAAATGTTTTTTTTTTTTCAAAAAATAAAATAAAAATTGAACGCTTGAATGGAAATTTCCATGGATTAATTGGCAAAGCTTTAAAAGTCAGCATCTTTACTTAGCCGTCCATTCAGCAACCGCTTGGCCTGCCCCACAGAAGTCCGCGAGCTCATCGATACCCTCGTCCAAGCAGACCGTGCTGTCAACATCGAAGCACACCGCGTCAGCATTGCACCATGCCCAGATAACCTCTGGTGAAAAGAGAAGAAGCATGCACGGTGTTAGGAGACTCAGGCCTGCATAGGCACCATAGCATGACCACACAAAACTAAAGGTTTCCAGCGATACCTTTCAAAGGCAGGGAGCTCTCTGAATTAGGGGAGGACATACTTTTTGGTACATCCAGTGCTGCTGCTATAAAACTCGGACGATTTGAGCGTTTAACACCGCAAAACGACGGGTTGGCGTAGCCAATTGCTAAACGTGAACTTAGCGTAGGCCGAGCTGATGAAAAACGAGGAACGCGAAAGGACTGCCGCGGAGAGATACACTGACTAACCATTTTGGCCATATACCTGCAAGCAGCAAATCAAGTGCAAATATGCAATGAGCAAATTACTGCGACGGAAGCACGCATTACTAAATTACCGAGAACAAAATAATGTTGTGTCAAGGAACAAAATGCATGAGATTGTACATGCATTCAGCTGCTCTACACCCTTTTTAAGGGATACACAAAATTCAGAGAAAACGGCTAGATAAGAAAAGCAGCGCACAACATGTTCATCCATCATCACCTCACCAACGAAGTTGTTCCCAACTATCAGATCAACCAATAATCTAGAGTTCCTCCCTAAACCGGATCCAGATGCATCCGTAATCTCAGAGCTCTAATCAGACAGATAAAACTTCTGCGACATTCTTGAGGCACCACTACCACCCAAATCATCCGCCCAACCCCGATCCTAGTCTTGCAGCGAATCTGCGAGGAAAGGAACAGCAAGTGGTCTCACCTTTAGATACGAGCGGCCGCGGCGGCGCTGACCACCGTATCGCCGGCGGCGAAGGCGGCGGCGGCGGCGGCGAATGGGGATACTAGTTGGCGAGTGACCGGATGGATGCGTGGGCTCGCGGAATCGAACGGTGGATAGAGGCAACGGCCGTGCCGGTCCGACGGCCAGGATCCGTCCACGTGTCCTCCCGCCCGCGCTACGCGCACCCGGGCAAGTCTACTGTCTACCCCACTCGTCGCGCTTCAGAGTCACTGACATCTGGGTCCATAGCAGAGTGGGCCCACATGTCAGTGACTCAAAGCCATGTGAATTAAGGTAGTGAGGGGATCTCAATCCTCTCCTCGCATATGGCCTTGGCCTCCCTCGCCGCCGCCGCATCGCTCCTCCCCGCCGCCGCGGCGAGGTCACGCGTGTCGCTCGCCCGCTGCCGCGGGATGGCCTCCTCGTCGTCACCATCTGCGGCCGCGGGGGCATCGGCGGCGGCGAGGGTGGGCGTGGTGCAGATGACCTCCGTGGGGGACCTCGACGCCAACTACGCCACCTGCTCCCGCCTCGCCAAGGCAAGCGCACCTCTTCAACTGGTCGCCGTGTATATTTCCTCAACTGCGGCGAGCCTGCTTGCTCTGCTCTGCTGCTGTTGTTAGTGGGGTTTTGGTGGGGAAATCCTCGCAAAAAAAAAAAAAAAAGAAGAAGCTGCAATTGATATGCCATATGCTCTTGTTTTGTGGATAAACGTTAAGCAATGTGATGGTTCATCGGTGTAGAATGGATGGATCCGAGTGGGAGCTAAGCTTTGCTGCCTTTGTAACAACTGTATTGATTGGCTTCTGTTTCAGGGAACGGGCAGGTGAATTTGTAGAGCATTTGTGATTGAATGGTGATGCTTTTGTTACTACAATGGGATTGTGCGGACGCAACCATGCGTTGTTATTGTAGGGGAAAACAAATATATTCCATCCGTTTCATATTATATGACGCTTCGACTTTTTTTCCTAGTCTAAACTTCTTTTAAGTTTGACTGAGTTTATAAAAAAACATAGCAACGTTTTCAACACAAAACAAACATGTTATCAAAATATATACAATGCTAGATTTCATGAAACCAATTTGGTGCTGTCGATGCTTCTAAATTTTTTTATAAACTTGGTCAAACTTAAAAGAAGTTTGACTAGGAAAAAAAGTCGAAGCGACTTATAATATGAAATGGAGGGAGTATTATTTATAGATGATCGATCTTTTCAGAATGGAAATGTGTGATGTGTGTTGTGCCCAATGTTGATTGATGTTCATAACCCTGTACTCCAGAGCATCTTGAAAGCTCATCCTCACCGAGTCGCTGTATAATTCATGTCTAAATCACTATTTTTTTCTGTCTGTAGGTAGTTCTGAAATCTGAATTGTACTTCCATTTTTTTTTTGTTCTTCTGTTTTGTTGGGTAATGCCAAGGGGACTAACATAGAGTCATTTTCTTCAGGAAGCAGCATCCTCTGGTGTCAAATTTCTTTGCTTTCCTGAGGTATTCTCATTCATAGGCTCCAAGGATGGCGAGTCTATTAAGATTGCTGAACCATTAGATGGCCCAATAATGCAGAGATATTGCTCACTTGCAAAGTTAGTAAGAACAAACTTGCTGAATTTCCATTTTGCCATTACATATAAGTGCCTCTTCATAGGAACCCCTTTTCTCAATTTACTTTATTTATTAGAGTTCACATTATATGACATATTAAATTTAAGTATTTAGTATTTTGTGTTCTCAATCTTGACTTCTGTGCCTTACAATTGTACAAATGAATCTTCTGATCATTTGTTCAGTATGAACATTTGGTCAATCTGTTAACTTAGAAATTGTTTTGGCTTATAGAAAGAATGAAAATCTATCTAATGCTCTGTAATTTCCAGTTTAAGGACCAGTGTGCACTTGTCGTGCTTATTTTGAAAGCTACCGCAAATAAGTAAATTTCATAACTCCCAGTGCCCTGTTTGGTAAATTAGACTGTAGCTTAACAACTCCTGTCATGTAATAGTTTAATCCTTCTAATTTCCTCTAGCATGAACCTTTGATATGCGATTCTCTGATATATTTTGTTATGTGGAGGCAGAACACAATAATACCACTTTCACAACACAATCTAGAAAAAAGAACTAGCCAAATATCAAAACATGCATATATGATATATGATGACTAATCCATTCCACCACAAGGCCAAATGGAGACTAGCTGTGTCTTGAGTCTTGAAACATATTTCTCTTGTATTTTTTAAGGATTTTATTTGGTTATCGGATAGCACTTTGAGTCCTTGACTTAACATAATTTCATCCTGCAGGGAATCAAGTATGTGGTTGTCTCTTGGAGGGTTTCAAGAAAAGGGTCCTGATGATTCACACCAGTACAATACTCATGTACTAATTGATGATTCTGGAGAAATTAGGAGCTCATATCGGAAAATACATCTGTAGGTGCTTATTCTTTCTCAGCTCTTAGGAGAAACATGCCTTCAAGAATTTTCTAAACAGTTTACTTGCGATGCCTATTTTAGGCATTCTTAGAATTTTAACAGTAGTTTTTTCAAGTTGACATAGTAAGGGCATGATATTTGATGCTATGCAGTTAAGTACTAGAAGTTTCATATGATTGTTGGTTCTAACAAGAGAACATTTATCTTACAATAGCCATGGATAAAATAGATTTATGAGAAATCGTCACAATATCCCAGAAGTATATTTCTGCATTACTTTACTGTCTAAATGGTGAAATTTTTGGTCGTACGCAAGACAACTGTTGCATCTTTCTTCGTTTCTTCTTGCTTGTTATGGTACACTGCAACATCTCATTGTTCAGATATTCACCTTCACATTTTTACGCTGAAGGTTTGATGTAGATGTACCAGGCAATATGGTGTACAAGGAAAGTCGTTTTACGACAGCAGGTACTGATATATTTCCTGATATTTTAGTTTTGTCATATTGGGATATGTAAATTTTTAGAGTTAGTTCTAAAATATCACTTAACCAATTGTACTTTTATATTTCAAATCCCCCTGCGGAATGTTGTGTTTGTCACATAAATTATTCTAGAATTAATTTATTATACCTAAATTATCAACAGTTTCTTGATGTACTTTTTAATATGCTCAATTAAGTGTCATAGTCAATGTACCACTACCACAATATCAGTTCAATATTCAGTCTTAGAACAAATTTTTATGAGATGTTTTTGGTCTGCACCATCCTGCACTATCTTATTAGTTTCTGTTCTTCTAGAAGTTACTCTGTTATAGAACTCATTTTTTTCACATTGAACTATTGAAGCCTATTTAAGCCAACTATCTGATTTCTAGTGCACATGACTCTCGACAAGATAGTTTTATGAGCGCAAGATGGGACACTAACTTATGCTTCTACATAAACTTTAGTATGCATTGCATATCCTTGGGTCAGGCATTATCAACTGAAGCTTTTTTTCTTCTGAAGCCAAATATAAACTGACTTGATTGAAAAGTGATTGAAACTAATACTGCAATAGTGATATCATGGAGTGAGACATACGTCGGGTTGCAGTTGATAACGCTATATGTGATGGTGTATTTATTTATTTATCAGGTGATACTGTCGTTGCAGTGGATAGTCCTTTTGGACGACTTGGGCTTACTGTTTGCTATGATTTGAGATTTCCAGAGCTTTACCAATGTTTGCGCTTTAAGCATCAAGCTCAGGTAGTGATTTATGGCATTATACTGACATAAGTTTTTCCTGATTGCCTTATCCTAAGCATACCTGTCATATCTCTGAGGAAAGCTCAGGTGAATTGCATATTGTTTTCCAGTATTCTTCTAATATGCCAGTGACCTTTTTAGGTCTTACTAGTACCATCCGCGTTCACAAAAGTAACTGGGGAGGCGCACTGGGAAATTCTTCTCCGAGCTCGTGCCATTGAGACACAATGCTATGTATGCAAATCCTAACTCTTATAAGTCTTTCACTTTTGCAGACACATCAGGCTGTTTCATATGGTTGGGAGTGTGATCAATAATATAAAATCCACCATATATGCATTACATATTTGTTATTGTTAAATTTTCAAGATTTGCAATAGGTTATTGCAGCAGCTCAAGCTGGAAAACACAATGAGAAAAGAGAGAGCTATGGTGATTCTATAATTATTGACCCATGGGGAACAGTTATAGCTCGACTTCCAGGTATATCTCTTCATTTTGTTACTGTCTTCTATCAGAAATCTTCTGTTGATATTTTGAAGGTTTTCTTGAATTTTATCAGCACCTTGTACCTTGACAACCACCAAGATTTTATTGATCTTCTGTTGAACTCCTCAACAATATTTGCTAGCACTGAAGTTTGAACTTGTCCTGGAAAATATTGTAGTCTGCCATTACCATACTGCATTTATCGTGTTTGTATTTGTTCAAATACAATATTCTGAAATTATGTGGAACGAGTGTGTCACAGTATGCCCGTTAAATATCGTTCTGAGGAATTAATCATCAAACTTTGGCTACAGACCGGCTGTCCACTGGGTTTGCTGTCGCAGATGTAGACTTGTCAAAAGTTGAGGCTGTGCGAACTAAAATGCCAATCTCTGAGGTAATACTCTCATGGAGATGCTGTTTGCTTCTGTCCAAGAAACACCATTTAGTTGTGTTCTTCAATAACAGTTTATCATCTTATTTTGTAGCACCGGAAGTTTGACAGCGTCTGGAAAACCTCATCACTGTAATAGTATAGAGGTCTTGCACGCCTCCTTTCTCTTTCTTTTTTCTTTAGAGAACAGTCGACCTATTATTTTGTGTATCAAATATCAATTGCAAGGCACACATGATGATCCAATGGTTTGATCGGCGGTAAACTTCAATTGCGAAGCCATGGTTGCTGTGAGGTTTCTTGGTTTGAAGAATTCCTGGTTCAGTGGAACTTCAAGATCCCAAATCCCCAATTAGGCTAGGAATGATTTGTCAGACCAAATAGTCCATAAATAATAGTGTTGGCTTGAACGCGACGCCACCAACCTAGGACATTTCAAATAAGTGATTGCCATTGAATCTAATGTAAATTTGTTATGGTACATTTGTTGATAAATCAAAGCTTGGATTTTTTTTTTGGTTACTGCAGAATTGTTTATAAATATAGTCCACACATACACTTGACCACATCAGGAAACTCTTCTAATGTATACATGACTTATAAGGGCACCCGCAATGGTTATCTATAGGCTCTCTACAAGAGATCCATGTCAGCATATTTTTCTACTTGGAAGAGATTAAATGAAGAAAGAGAGAGAGCAAAGTTATCTACTAACCTGGAAATAGTCTATAGAAAAAAACGAGGCAATGGATTAGAGAGCTATAGATACCCATGTAGGTATATCATTGAAGTGGTTTACTATTAATCTAGTCTATTACTGAGATGTACATGTTTTATAGATAACACCTTACTTTACCATTGCAGGTGCTCTAAATGATGAAACAAAAAAAAATGACAGATTGGCTGTGAATAGTTTCTGAAGTATCTTTAAGTTTTAAAAAAATGCACATGAACTATCTCCAACCAAATATGCTCTTTTATCCTTGTGTGGTGGAGTTCAGTCTTGATTTTTTGTGAAATAATATATATCACTTATTGTTAAAATTTTTAGAAATTCTATTAGTATTTTTGTTGCAGCTAAGGAGGAGAACAAATGAGTAAGAATATCTCCTTGAGGTATTATATTCTAGTAATTCAGACCATGCCCACAGAGTAAGCATAGCTCTCTCACGTGTTATTGTAAATAGTATACTCTAATCATCCACCGTACTCCAAAACTTTAATAAGCAAAATTTTTAAACTTTGATCATTCATAACTTCTGGTATGCTTAGCTTTTTATTTAGAAAAAAGAATGGTACGCATGGAATTGCTTAGGCAAAATACTATCATAATATAGCATAAATTTATTATATTTTATAATTTTGTTATAATATAAAATTGATGATCAAATTTTCAAAAGTTGACCGAATCTTCTTCTAAACATCAAACGTTTATAAATAGAGGGAGAATAAAAAAATTTTAAAAGTGAAAACTGAAAAAGAAATGTTTGCATTTAACTCAGCTGCAACTTCTCTAACAACGGGGATTGCCTGCTACTGCTAGTGCTAATGTTTGCTGCCGGCCTGCACCAGCAGTACTGCAGAGGATCTGCACTCCTCTAATGCTATCCCTAATGTAAATGCTGAGAGAGAGAGAGGGAGAGAGAATATAGGAGGATATTATTTGTTTTTCTTTCATGTTAACATGGTGTTGAGTGATGTTGGAGTGTAGGTGTGGTTGCATAAATTAATTTGTTAAGGTTCAAATTCAGGTAACCAAACTAGGTAGTTTTTTTTTCTTTTGAGGTTTATGGATTTTTCCCTAATGTCTCTTTGTTGTGTTAAAAGTGGCGTATTCGTAGATATATATAGCGCGCTGTGCATCCTACATTTGTATTAAAAAAATGATATTATTTAGTCCTAATATGGATTTTGGTGTAGGTCCATTATTTAGCAAATGCTTTAAGCATTTTAATTGCATGCAACTAATTGAGACTTCCTTTGAAATGGGGTGTTTCAAAGAAATTGAGCTGATTCGTTTTAAAATTCCTATAAAATTCTTGCGTTTAAGCACCAATCCTTTGAGGGATATGATCTTTTTCGTCAAGAACCAATTCTTTGCTAAGAGGAAATATTTTGAAGAATATTTTCAAGAAAAAGATAATCTCTCTAATATTTTTTGAATAAGCCTTTTGTCAGAGTGCTAGCTTTACTGCCAATCAACAACGTGATGGCTGGCGTATCAGTAGCCATGTCATATGTGTAAAGTGTTTGGATTTAAAGATTTTATGGAATGCCAAATTTTGTTTAAAAGGTAAAAATTTCTCCTTCGCCAATATACGAAGGGCCTCATTGTTTGGCTGATGCTTATGCTTATAAGCTAAAATTTAAATTTTAGAACTTGATTTTGAATTTATTTTTTTTTCGTTTTTCATCGTAGTTTATTTTACAACATCTGTTTTTATTTAGTCGCTAAAGAGAAGTGCATAAAACATTTACCGACAAATATTTTTTATTGGTTAATAACCGATCCGAATAAGCATACGAATAAGGGAAACAATATTCGAAATTAGTACGAAAGAGAAAACAAATTACAAACGGATTTTATTACAAACCCGTTTCTACCTCTTTTTTTTTCCCTCTTATTACAGAGAGGTTAGATTAGAGTTAGGCTCGCCATTAAACAACACTCATCTCCCCCTCCCCCTTGAAACCCTAGCTCCGCTTCGCCGTCGTCCTCCTCCTCCTCCCCGGCGGCGGCGGCGGCGGCCATGGCGTCCGCGGCGGCGCCGAAGCGGTGCTACTACGAGGTCCTGGGCGTCCCCCGCGACTGCTCCCCGGCCGACATCAAGCTCGCCTTCCGCCGCCTCGCGCTCTCCCTCCACCCCGACAAGCAGCCCCCCGGCTCCGACGTCGCCGCCGCCACCGCCGCCTTCCAGGAGCTCCAGCACGCGCACTCCGTCCTCTCCGACCCCCACGAGCGCTCCTACTACGACTCCCACCGCTCCCAGATCCTCTTCTCCGACCACCACCCCTCCTCCGGCCCCGGCCGCGGCGGCGGCGTCGCCTCCGCCTCCGCGTCCCCCGTCCCCGACCTCTTCGCCTTCTTCTCCTCCTCCGCCTTCTCCGGCTTCTCCGACTCCGGCCGCGGCTTCTACAAGGTCTACGGCGACGTCTTCGACCGGGTCTTCGCGCAGGAGCTCGCCTACGCCCGCCGCATGGGCATGCCCGCCGACGCCGTCCCCACGCCGCCGGTGATCGGGAACCTCGATTCCCCCCACGCGCAGGTCGCCGCGTTCTACAGCTACTGGCTCGGGTTCGGCACCGCGATGGACTTCGGGTGGGCGGCCGAGTGGGACGCCGCGCGGGGGGAGAGCCGCCGGGTGAGGCGGCTCATGGAGGAGGACAACAAGAAGGCGACGCGCAAGGCGCGGCGGGAGTACAACGACGCCGTGAGAGGGCTCGCCGCGTTCTGCAAGAAGAGGGACAAGCGGGTGGTGGACATGGCGCTGAAGAAGAAGGTGGAGGAGGAGAAGAGGAAGGCGGAGGAGGCGGCGAGGAAGAAGGAGGAGGAGAGGAGGAGGAAGGAGCGAGCGATGGCGTACCAGGAGCCCGAGTGGGCGAGGGTGGACGAGGATGAGGCGGCGGTGTTTGAGGACGACGAGGAGGAGGAGACGAGGGCGAAGAGGAAGGAGGAGCTGTACTGCGTGGCGTGTAATAAGAAGTTCAAGTCCGACAAGCAGTGGAAGAACCATGAGCAGTCAAAGAAGCATAGAGATAAGGTGTCCGAGCTGAGGATGGTGTTTGAAGAAGAGGAAGAAGCTTTGAAGGATGCTGAAGAAGAGGAGCCAGAAGAAGTTGATGTGGGGTTTGATTTTCAGCCTGCACAGGAATCAGAGGAGAGTGAATTTTCAGATGCTGCTGAAGAGTTGGCTGACGAGTTGAGCGAGGGATTGGAGGTGCGTGATGAAGAAGAGAAGGGTGATAAGCACTTGGGTAATGGGGAACAAAAGGTTGGTTCATATGATGAAACCAGTGTGTTAGAGGAAATGCTATCGAGGTCTAGGCGCAAGAATAGGAAGAGTGGTTTTGTCGCTCCTCAGGAGGAAGCTTCACCAGCTGGTGCCATGGATGATGATGACGATGAGGATACAAGCTATGAGATTAATAATGTCAAAAAGAAAGGACGCCGGAGACGGGCAGCAAAGAAGGGAGGTACTTATGCTGATAATGGGCAAGGTAGGAAGAGTGAGAATCAGCCTGAGGAATCCAGGCATAATAATGATGAAAATGGTGCTGATGATAAGATGGAAGGTCCATCTTCTAATGAAGACAGTGCTGCAGCAAGTAAAGAAGATCAGCAGAAAGGAAAAACCGGTAATACTAAAAAGAACAAGAAAGGCACAGAAAAGAACACAACTATATCTTCTGAACAAAAGGGTACATCGAAGGGAAAGAAGCAAAAGGTACATTCACATTATTTTCTCCTGTTAACTTCTTCATATTTCTTTTTCATGTATAGTTGGCAGGAAACTTGTTATGAATTTGTGACTAAAACCCATGTATTCTGTTTCTCTGTTTAAGTCAAAGAGCAAAAACTTTTAGCCTCATCAGTACTATGTGAATCACATATGCAGATACCTAGCCGTGTAGGTGCTTCAAGAACCACCTAACTAAGCCACTTATTAGAAATGCTTACGTAAAAGCTGTGCTACTTTATAGAGGAAATAACCAATGTTTTGAATTTTGTGGAATACATGATTAGAGTTGCTTCCTTTGTGAGAAAAGAAACTTGTCCTGAAAATCTTATGATTTTTGCGGGTATCAACACTCACATGTTGGATTGCTGTTGTTTTATGATTTTTTTTCCTTATGCAAAACCCTAAATCTGTCTTTGTGCAGCACAGTAGCAGTGATCTTGCTCTTGCTTTTCACATTTTGGAAAGAAACCTAGAGGATGATTTTGCATAGGTTGAAATGATATTTGATAGCACTGATTAACATAGTGGATAATGAATATTATGCTTTTGTGAAATACTTGTTGGAGACAGCCTTTCTTGGTTTTGTGAAATACTTGCTGGAGACAGCCTTTCTTGGTTTTGTGAAATACTTGCTGGAGACAGCATTTTGTGAAATATTTGATAGCACTGATTTTGTGAAATACTTGTTGGAGACAAGCCTTTTTTTGGTTTCATGTCAATTAGTATATTATGCCTTTTCCTGTGATGTCTGTTAACAGTTTAACTTGTTGATCTATAATTGGCGTATCAGTTTAGCTTTCTGTGTATTTGTTCTAAATTTGTGGGTGTGTACACAGTTGCAAACAGAGTTAAAGAATCTTGGAAGCCCCCCTGGTTTCACTGTTATCACGATTTTCTTATCTTGTTTTGATTAAAAAGTAGATTAGTGCCACCTAGAGCAAAGAGCCCTTCCGTTTGTTCTGTATCATGTAGATGTCTAGTGCAAAATACTTTGTTGGAGAACATACAACTTGAAGCTGCAAATGTGGAAAAGTTTTATACGTACTAATTCACTGTCTACTGTTAGTGCAACCCGATGAGCTTAAAACCAAAATTCGGCCATGCCTTGAGTACCCATGACATGTTTTGGATATATTTTGTGTGGATAATATTGTGCTATGCATTGTCTATAGATTCATAAAATTCTATATATATTTCTGTAAGTAGTTATAACACTTTGAAGCTACCTTCTTGTACCAGGAGGTTTCAAAGGCACCCAGTAATGACTGTGAAACGTGTGGATCAACGTTTGACTCAAGGTATGTACTTGAAGTTCAGCTTTCCTTTTCCTCTCCTTCCCTTTCATTTGCACTTTCCCATCATATGTTGCTATCTTACAATGAAATTGGAAACGCAGTTATGGTTTGTCTCAAATACTTCTTGTTGCAGGAACAAGTTGTTTTCTCACTTGGAAGAAACAGGTCATGCAATGCTGAAGACACGACAGAAAAATCGCTGAAGAGGACAAGAAAGTAGTTTTCTTTTACCGTTTGTCCCAGTTGATGCTGATAGATTAGCACATCGACAAAAAGGCCATATATCTGGTTTATAGCCCAATTTTGATATGTGTAGTAGAGCCGTTTTCTTTCTTCCTGGATTTGTTTCATTGGTTTGTGGTACAGAATGACAAGAACTAATTATTATTATTCAATCGAAATACACACCATCTTGTAATTTTTCTCCCTTTTGGTGCATTGTCTTGTTCAAGAATGAACCATTTTGTACGCGTTTGAGCCTACTGTTGCTGGTGCTCAGCTTCTTTGGAATTTCACCAATAACAGGGACATTATTAAAACAACTCGTATGTCATGTACCATTTCAAATTTTAAGCACTGAACATCAGCATCGAAACCAAAACAGTTACTATCTTTCTTATCATTCAGGTGAACTCCAAATTTCCCTATGCTATCTGCAAATGGGTCTTTTAGAATTCAGAGAAAGGGATAACATTACATTTATATAATCTGACACAAACTTAAAATCACAAATCCACAAACTATCTTAGTTTGTTCCTTTTTTCCCCTTATGTACAGCTCCATCCAAATGGAAATTTCATGAATGGAGTTTCATTCCATGTTGGCATGATCTGCTTCCTGGAGACCTGGACTGAAGTCCCCCCCTGCATTGCTGCCTGAACTTCTTTGTTTTCTGACAGCAAGAGTGGTTTGCGCTTGCAAACACCAAATTAAGGCAAGAGATGAAAGGATTTGAATCAATCACTTGGTGCTCCTGTGACCTGATGAAGCCATGAGCACCGCGACCGCGACGATGAACATGAACAGCATGAACCCGAGCAGGATATACGTCTTTCGCGACGATTTCCGGTACTCCCCAAACAGGAGTATTCCCCAGAATGTGCTCACAAGTGGCAATGCCTGATGAAACAGCAATGCTGAAGCAGTTAGAATCATAGTCCAGAAAAGTTGTACTTCTCTGAAGATAGTGTGAACTGCTAAACCTGAAGAATTTGCCTGGAAGATCTAGTATGATGTTCAGTATCTGAATTTATCTAAAGATCTAGAATAATAAGTTGCAGTTATCTGAAGATTGTCTGAATTGCTAAACTTGAAGAGAATTTGTCTGAAAGATCTAGAATCTCGCCACAGCCATCGCGAACACGATGAATTTCTCTTCTGATGTGAAGAAATGATAAGATTTGGAGATTGGACTAACCTGGACAGCATCAGCAGCAGCATAGCCAGCAGCCTGACCACCCATGAACTGAAACCCATTGCCAAAGCCACATAGGAAGCCAGCCAGGAGAGCCCACTGCCTGCCTTCCCAGTCATTCAGGTAAGCCTTGAAGGATGATTTCGGCACACCGGCCATTGGACGGTAGAGGAACAGGATGTTCAGGCCGATGCCGATGACGAAGCACGAGATCGAGAAGTAGAAGAAGGCGGTGTACACCACCAGGTGTGGTACACCTTGTTTCAGGGTGTGCCATTGGTCATTGGTGGCGAGGTTGAATGCCGGGGAGAAGAGTGAGAAGCAGACTCCTGAGAAGAACACTATCCCAAGCCCTATGAAGGTGCTTGATCCGAACACCTGCGCAACGGAGAGGTTCATCAGATCAATCTAGTTCATTGGTACAAGTTTTCATCCATAATTTTGGTATTGATTCAACAAGCATGATAAAGGATGATTAGAATGGCAGTGACCGAATTACCTTGATCGAACGCCGTTCTTCGAGCTCAATCAAGTATTCCGCAGTTCCTGCTTCAGCTTTGGCAACATATTTGGTTGCAGAAGCTCCATTCTCCAAGTCCTTGGGAGCATCTGAAATTGGCAGAGTTAAGAACTAGGATCTGATCTGCAAGAAATCAACATTACTAGTACTTACAACATTAAAGTCAGTTTTTTTTTTAAAGAAAAGGTTATGGCATACCTTTTTCTATGACTTCTTTGTTTGGTTCCACACTTCCATTTTCCCTGGAAATTACAGGTTATTAAGATCATAGGGGTCAGTAAATTAAAAGACGCAGAATCTTTAAATAGATTGGAACCTAAGGCATAATATATTTTCTAACAGAGGTATCCAGATAGGCTAACCAGTGTGTAATGTGTTTTATGTATCTTGATGTGAAATATCTTGATGTGTTGAAAAATGTGAAATATCTTACCCAAGTTTATAGATATTTGTGGAGCCATTTAGTTTTTCTTCATTATCAGCTGCATTGGAGGCATGTACAGCAGAGCCAAGAATGACTGCAACAAGGAAGCAGGCCACTCCAGGGAAAAGAATCTCTGCTCTGTTGATGCGGTTGTCCAGGAAATAATTCAGTGTTGTGCCTGAAGATCCAACATGTGAGTTTTCTGATCTACTGAATAATTAGGACAATAATAATGGATACAGCAATTAGTTTGCTGTAGCTACTGAATAAAGTAAACTGGAGATATTGATCTGAATATATGTTCTTTTCAGGAGTAGGACCAACTATAATGTATTCATACTATTACTAACCTAATTATTCAGTTTCTTCGACTAACATAAATATAGATAGGTTGTGATGAGCTGTACTTCACATGTATCACCAAGAATCAATAATTTTCCCTCAATTTTCTTTACTTAAAAAAAAATCAAACAATAATATATGTTGCAGTGTTGTAAAAGAGAAGTTTTACCTACCTATTACAACAACCATACTTGAGCTGATGACCTCAGTCACTGAGAGACCTACATATGCCCATGCATACTGAGTAGAGAGGTTCCCTATACTGAGCACAACACCCCCTGCCATTGCAAACAGCACTGAAGGCCAATTATCCTTCATTGCAAACAAAAAAAAATCACTGTCAGCAAAATTTCAGACTAACTAACAATCAGAAATGTATTAATTCAGGGATATACTATTTCAGATGCTTAAGAGAAGGTGGCTAACCTGACTGAGCTGGGTGAAGAAATTGGGCATGTTGGGCTTGCTATCGCCGAGCTGACCGAAGGTGAGCGCGATGAGGACCGCAGCGAGGAGGTTCGTGATCGAGTAGTCGAGGTAGGTGTGCTGCGGGAGCCGGCCTCGGCGCTCGAGGAGGGTGAGGACCGCAGGCCATGTCCCCAGGAAGAAGAGGGAGGCCAGCATGAGGGCAATGGCACCCCCTTTGTCCTCTATGATGTACATCTTGAGGCCTCCTTGTCTGATGGACAACAGGGAATTCACAAGGGGGCCTTCAAAAACCTGACAAAAAATAAAATAAAACACATTTTTTCATCATGTAAGAGGGTTGAGCTGCTACTCATTTGGATTGAATCATCAAGAAGTTTCAAGATCTTGCAGTTGTTATCCACAAAATCTTGTAAAATCAGAAAGTGTTTTGCATTTAATACTGTCCTCAAATCTCCATCTCTTCATTCTTGCTTGTTACAGCAAGCAATAATATCATTACAAGAAACACAAGAAAAAAAAGGAAGGAAAAGAAATCAGGAAATCAAATTCATTCCAACAGCCATAGGGAAGATCCCAAATTGTGGATAAGCTATCCTTATCACTTATCAGCATGAAAGACTCCCAGTTCTTGGAACCCTAAATCCCCAATTCTTCAAAGATCAGATTCTGCTGAGGATGAGAAGAGATCCAAACTCCCAATTAAACACATAAACACACAAGGAAGGGGAAGAAGAACATCAAGCAAGTAGAGCAGAGTACCTTTTGGCATGAAACCAAAGAAGTGGCACAACCAAGGACATGGTCCATGGATACTACTTATAGTGCCAAGCACTGGTTACCAAAACAAAAGCTAATGGTATCTTTCAAACGCAAAAAGTCCAACTTGATCTGCACAAGTTTGACTCATGCAGCAATTTGCGAATTCGCGGCGTCTTCTCATGCGCAGATCACCCAATGGAATTGGAGCTTTATGGAGGAGGAGGAGGGAGAAATGGAGAGAAAAGAGGTGGAGAAAAAGACAACTATACACTCGTCATTTGCTGAAAATAATGGAATGGGGTGATAGTGACATCTAGGGATACTCTCCTCCACCAATCAATAACCTTGAAATGAAATGATTTTTAGCTGAAATATCACTTATTGCAGACTCCACAAGTTTATGAACATATGGCAATTGACACCATTATGTCTAATGAATTACATATCAAGGCTTTTTTTTTTCTTGGATACAGATATCTAACTAGGTATTATCTGCAATTTGGGCACTGAATTTGTCCAAGAATGCAAAGAGTGAAAAATAATGGAAGTAGAGAACTGTACTCTTTAGCTAGATATAATCATATAAACAACTATCCATTTCTTTCAGTGACGTCTTATCTAAGAAAAAGGCGCATTAAAAGAGAATTTTTTTTTGATGATTCCAACAAGAAAATGATGCGTCTACTGAATCTTTCCTTTCCTCCTTTAAGCAACAAACTAAACAAAAATATTTCTCAATAGAACAAGAGATTCATAAACTGACATGGATCCAAGAACTCAAAACCAACAAAAAAGAGAGACCCATGCCGATGATTTTCAACCAAGAACATCATCTTCTCCCCAAAATATCATTTTTTTTAAAAAAAAGAGGAAGCAAACAACCAATCAACATCGACTTCCACTCACGAATACAAAGAACACAAAACGAAACAGATAACAAAGCAGACATGCCGGACATAAACCATTCATCACCACAAGCTAATTAATGACAAATCAAAGATCAAAAGACAGGAACACATTACCTAAAGTCAGAAGGAGAGAAAGGGATGAACTGCTCCTCCTCCAGAGAACTCAAGAACTGAACTCTCAAGTCTCAACAGCCTTTGTCACTGCATAGAATTCTTCAGGTTAAATAGATAGGCAGCTGGGGTTTGTTGGACTCTCTCTACTACTACTCACTCCTCCAGCTGACACGCAAGAAGGGAAGGAATTAACCATCAAGAGATTCTTGTTCTTCTCTCAAGAGGGCCAACAAAAAAAAGGGAAGAAGATTCTTGTGGCACCTAAAAATGAATATTTTTTTTGGGAAAAAAAGAAATGTAAAAATAGAAATAAAAATTCAATCCATTGACTCCGGATCTGGAGAGATCCTCAAGATTCCCCAGGCAATTCGGCAGTATTTGTTGCTATCTTCCCTCGCTTTGACCGCCTTGTGTGGTTGTCGTTGTTTCGCGTGCCAGGAGCGATTTGTTTGGAGAAGAGTAGGTGATTTAATCTCTTTTTAATTTAATAAAAAATTGGAAATAGGTGAATTATATATGCAGCTGTTTGACAATTTGACATATTATTATTTCTGCTGTAACGTACAGATCAGTCCAGCCTAGGCGGGAACACGTCTGGATGAATAATTCATAATTGTTTTATTACACGGTGGGAAGGTTTCTCCTAACACACGCCAAAAGAAAAAAAAAGTACTAGACTAATAGTAATAACTAGGCATTAAAAAAAAACTCATGTTAAAACACATTCAAATTTTAGATAATGAAATAAAATCACGGCCTTTGTTTACAGAGCTATATCCAATTATTAAAAAATGTTCCAAACATAATCACACCTCAAAAGAAGACATTAAGACATAAGGGACAATCCAAACTGATAGAGGCGCACACTGACACAAACACTAATAAAAAGATAAAGCACAAACTTATTGAATTTTATTTGTGAACCTCCCTTCAAGATTGGTGAAAAGTTACATAACTCCAGTTTGTAACATGCAACTTTTATAAACTTAATGTCTTCGTCACATTTTTGTAGAAGAGCCCATAATCGGAGCCAATATGTTGTCTTGAAAATCATATGCAAAAAACACATTCATATATATATATATATATATATATATATATTCAATATTAATATTTGTAGGCATCATGATCTGAACCTATAATTTTTTAGTACACATAGAATTTCTCTTAACAAACGTTGTAAGAGACGCACGAGACCGTGACTAATTTCTAGCGATAAATAACTAGCTTCATTAAGGCCCTGTTTACTTCCTACACAAAAATTTTACACCCTGTCACATCGAACTTTTGAACACCTGCATAAAATATTAAATATAGACTAAAAATATAACTAATTGCATAGATTGCGACTAATTTATGAGACGAATATTTTAAACCTAATTGCTCAATGATTTGACAATGTGGTGCTACAGTAAATATTTGCTAATAACGGATTAATAAGGCTTAATAAATTCGTCTCGCAGTTTACTGACAGATTCTATAATTAGTTTTTTTATTAGTGCCCGAACACCCCATGAGACACCCTATATAATATCCAATGTGACACACCAAAACTTTACACCCCTGGATCTAAACACCCCCTAAATTCCTATTAAAACCATGCACATATGTACTGGCACTAATATAGATCTTGTTTGGTATAACTCTAAATCCAAGATTTTATAAGCTGGATATTCCTAACTCTACATAACCACAGATCTGGATCTGCTATTACGTTATAACATTTAGATAAATTATTTTATTTTCATTTTAGATAAAGATATAACATTTTACTAGAAATTTTAAGGCTGTGAGATCTGGATCAGGGCCTAAGATCTCAACTCTACGTGTGAAGATTTTTTTTTTTGTTTTTGAGAAAATTGGCATGATTGGCTTTGTTTTCGGTGTCAGCCTGGCTGTTGGGTGCGACGACTTTGGAAGCTATTAACATGTGCTTTCTTACATTAGGTGTCGTGGTTGTACAATTAGAATATAACCTTGATTTATTTGTTTATTGAAAAAAACATATTCGTGCATTATATACATATATATTTTCTTGACATGCATTTCATTTTCATCTTTATCCCTTGATAAATTTTATTGCTGCACTACCAAATGTACAATAGTAAAATACAACCTAGAAGCATAAAATTCACTTTCTTTTCGACGACATATATGGACCTTTAAAGAGTAATTTTACAAAAGGCTACCTTAATTCTGTGATGAAAGTTTCAGGGGCCCTCAATTAGTTAGCTTATCCTAGCTAATCTTGCATGTGGCAGGATACTATGCACGACAATTTTCTATGTCCATGTTCGAAATCTTTTGATGACAGGTTAAGTAGAACTTGCTAATGGATGGATTAATAAATATATAAATATTTCTACCAAATAAAGCATGGCAGCTAGCCTAGAGCGCAAGTGTCAAAGCAAGTGAATAGTTTTGTTAGAAAAACGTGGCTCGTGACTTCGTGAGGAGGTTCCATATGCATGATAGATATCATAAATTAGTACCCTCCAGTTTTTTAATAGATGACGACACTCACTTTTAAACACAATTGATCATTTGTTTTATTCAAAAATTTTATGCAAATGTATAAGATATAAATCAAGCTTAAAATAATTTAAGTGATAAAACAACTCATAACAAAATATATTATATTTACGTAAATTTTTTTAATAAGATACATAGTCAAACGTGTGATAAAAGGTTAACAGTATCATCTATTAAAAAACGAACCCAGCAACAAATTTAGATTATCAAAGTGACAGGCATTGAGTGAAGATTACGGTAGGTACGAATATGAATAATCAAGTGGCCCTGAAGATTCGTAGAAGTCCTACGCTGCATTTCGTATTGCAGTGAATTAGTAACAATATTTTTTGTGACGGTTTTTAATATTTCATTATTTGGTAAATAGTTTCTATTTAGATTTAATTATGCAAACTATAATATAATCATGCTCTAAAAATATAAAACAATTGTGAACTGAGCATAATTCAGCTGGTAAGGTAAACAAAGTTAGAAAACATATTTCAGTCAAAAAAAAGTTAGAAAACATATTTTTATTTAATTGTAATTTGATATGTAAACAAACACACGCTACTAATTTTTTTACAAGGACCCCTATATATTACAATTGGAATGTAATTGGTCATGCGTGTAAAAATCGATCTCCATTTTCGCATATGGCTCATTAAGAGGCACACGTGCAAAAATCTATTTTCGCAAGCGGGCCACTTAGAGAGCCGCATGAAAAAATGAGCTTATTTTCCCATACGATCCTCTTAAGGGGCCACATGCAAAAATAGATTTTCGCATGCGAAAATACGCTCTTCTTTTCCACGGATATTTTCTCCCCTCCTCTCTCTTTTCCCTCTCAACACTTCAAATTTTTTCACCTCCTCTCCTCTCTCTCTTCCTCTCACCTCTTCCTCTCCTCTCCTCTCCTCTCTCTCTTTCTCTCCTATCCTCTCTGTCTTCCTCTCCTCACCAAGCGGGAGGGAGCGGCAGCGGCCGCCACCGCCCCCGGGTGGATCTGGCGGCCCTCACTCTCCTAGTCCCCATTCCTCTTCCCTCTCCTCCCTCACTCTGACGGCAGTGGCGGGCGAGGGTGGTGGTGGAGGACAAGGGCGATGGCGGTGGAGCGCGAGGACGACAGGTGCAGGCTCCAGCGGCGACGGTGAACGAGTGGGATGGCGGCGACGGGCGTGGGTGACGGCGGTGGTCCTCCCCCGCTCGGATCCGACAGCGGCAGATCTCCCCTGCACCGATCTGGCCGCCACCACTCTCCCCCACCCAGATCCAGTGGCAGTGACCCTCCCCGCCCGGATTAATTAATCGGTGGTTGCCCTCCCCAACCCCGATCTGGTGGCGGCCCCTCCTGCAAGGATCCATCGGTGGCGATGACGACGGGGTGGGGATGGGAGGAGGACGATGTCGATGGCGGCGGCTGGAGGATGAGGACGACAGCGGTGGTGACTAGAGGACGGTGGTGGCAATCGCAACGAGAGGACGGCGGCGATGGTAGCGACGGTGTAGTTTTCTATTTTCAGAATTTTTATTTTTTTCATGATTTTCCTTTTCGTGTGCGGTCAGCTTAAGTGCTCGCATGCGAAAATCGCATGAGGTTGTGCTGGTCGTATGCAAAAATCCAATTTTCGCAGACCTTTGGGCGCATGCGGGCCGCCCGTCCACATGCAAAATTTGATTTTGGCCGTATAGAAAAATCGAATCTATATTAGTGA